GAGGAGGAGGAGGAGGAGGAGGAGGAGGAGGAGGTCACCTCATTCATTCCAGTACATTCCGTACAGTCCTTCAGGTCTTCGCTTCTCTGGTCTTGCTAATACACCACGGAGATAATAATATTGTTTCCAGAAACATGGTAGCTTTAGAAGTTGTCATTCTTTAGGAGCATTTTCTTGCTAATTGCACATCTGGCACCAGTGAAGGAGCACATCTTTTGCAGTACAGATGAACATATTGTTATTATATTCTATTTCCAAACTTCTCCTGTTTGTCGGAAATAACGTTCCTCAAACAAAAAGATTTTCTGATAAATGTTTGAGCCTGCATTAGCCGGAATGCGTATGTAGCGGCATCTGTGGTGCAGCAGTTGGGTGCGTCGTCGGTGTCCCACGCAGAAGACCCGAGTTCGATTCCCGAATCGGAAGCATGTTTGTTGAATTTCTCGGTCTTTCAGTTGAAATGTTCTATTTGTTTCAGCCCGGGTGGGCCCTGACAGGTAGGGTCGGAAGCCTGCCTCTGAAATTATCTAGATTGTGTCGCTTAGAGGTGAAAAAACACCTACATTTTTTAATGTGTTTGTGAATGTGTTTCTGCGAGTAGTCTGTGCAACGTGCATTTCTTTTCACATTTGTTAGTCCTGCTGGCTCTCTTGATGAGTCTTAATGAGGTTTTAAAGGTGCCACGCATCTATTTCCCTTTTGGCACGGTGAAGTTCGCTGGAGAAGCCCGATGCTTTTTCCCATGACCATGGCAAATTTTAAGCTCGCTCGTTTTGAAAGGATAAAAATCAACAATTTTTAGAAAAAACAGTTGATTTATTCAATGGCTCTAGAAAGCAACTATTACATAAGTGATTTCATATATAAGAATATTATGCATTAAAAATACCTGGTTTCCTTTAACGTCCATGTCAATCTCCACATGAAAAAAGGCATTGTAGCAAATGAGAGTTTCCAATCCATATGGCACTTACGATGTAAATATTCATATCATGATAATAATATATTACTCTTCAGTTGTACAAGAAGAATGTCTGTCAGCAGATAAGTGATTTGTGGTCCTCTCTCTCTCTCTCTCTCTCTCTCTCTCT